TGAATAAATAATTTTCGAGCAAAATTTAAATGGCCGGCTGAATATATTACCGCAGGAGCCGCGGCCGCGGAATTTAAATGACCACGTCAAAGGGTTAAATAAATTGATGATAAACACATTCAGCCTCAAGATGGTAGCTGCAGTAAAGTGAGTTAGGAGGCTTGCAGTATATTGGCTTAGTCATTGTAATACGACTAATTGTTTCTTCTGTGGCAGATGTTATCTGATGATCACAGAACTTTAGTAGAGAATAGTAAAACCTCTGAGGATGTTAATATTGCCACATATTTAATGTTATATGACTGTGGATGAGATATGGATTGGTTAATTGGGTTTATGGACCACTTGTATACACCACTCAGTTACAGTTTACTGATGCACACAGACTAGTGTCCTCAGTCTGTGAGCTGGTGTCAGCAATTTCCAGGATCGGTGCTGCCATCTGTACAGTAGTTGTAGTAGCGTGATGCAATGGTAGATGGTAGTACTAGCATATCTTGGGAGTTGGTGTACAAAATTTCATGCAGCCAGATGGATGTGCTGATGTTTTATGTCCTTTTATTTGTAGTTGTGTGTCTGGCCTGATGTGATTTTGTGATGCATCCAACAAAGGAACAGTGAGTGTGCATCAAATTTTGTGCAAATCTCGGAAAAAGTGCAACGGAGACCATGGCAGTGATTAGACAAGCATTTGGGGAAGGAAGCATGAGCCATACACAGGTGTTTGAATGGAATGCACGGTTTAGGGCCTGTTGGACACCAATTGAGAAGGACCAACACACAGGCAGGTCCATGCCTGACACAGACTTCAGCAGCTTGTTTGTGAGGATTGACGTCAAACCATTCAAGTCTTTGCTGATGAGATGGAAATTGGTTTTTGGAATGTCAGCGGATTCTGACTGATGAATTGGGCATGCATCTTGTCACCGCCAAATTTGTGCCCAGGATTCTGACAGCTGATCAGAAGCAGCAGCATGTCAACATCTGCAAGAAGCTTCATCAGACTGCCTCTGACGATGCATCCTTCTTGTCCAGGATTATCACTGGTGATGAGAGCTGGATTTATGGTTATGACCATGAGACAAAGCAACAATCCTTCCAATGGGAAAGTTCAAATTCAAGGAGACCGAAAAAGGCAAGACAGGCAAAGAGCGAAGTCAAGAGCATGCTCATCATTTTCTTTGACATCAAGGGGATTGTTCACAAAGAAATTGCCCTAGCAGGCCAAACAGTCAGTTCTTCATACTACTGTGACTTTCTATGGCAACTGCATGAAAATATGTGAAGACTTTGCCCCGAACTTTGGCGACGAAAGAACTAGCTGTTGCTTCACAACAACGCACTATCTCACACTTCCTTTTTCACCAGAGAATTTTTGACCAGAAACAACATGACTGTCATCCTCCAGCCACCCTGCTCACCTGATTTGGCTCCCTGTGACTTTTCTCTGTTTCCCTGATCTATATAAATAAAAATATAAATGTTTGTTTGTTCAAATTCTTAAATCCCCGAAAGTTCTTCACCAATTGCTTTGAAATTTTGACACAACGTTGCATTCGAATACGCGCGTGTTTTTATATACCTGTTATATAGATGTCACACCTGTGACAGGTAAAAACATGCTTCTTTTGAAAAACAGCGCCATCTGTTGGCTAGAACAGACCGTTGCATAGGAAGCGACGATAGCGGTATTGTAGCCCCAACAGTTGGCCGTTGCATAGGTATCGCAGTATCAACAAGCAGCGTTTCCCCACTGAGGTATAAATAGCCCAGCTTCGACAAGAAGCAGTCAGTCTCGGGGCAGATGCCGAAGGATACAGAAGAGAGTCTGGAAGTAACTGCCGAAGGAGTCAGTCTTGGGATAGCTACCGCCGAATATAAACAGTTTCGATTTATTTTCATTTTGATTTAATTATTTCATGTGACATTCCATTGGAATTGAGCTGTGTCGTTTACCATAGCGTTCATTTCATGAGTATAGTTTATTTTTCATTGTTTTTCATTTCGTTTTCTCAACTGTTTTCCTTATTTTTCAGTGCAATTGGCGGTGGAATTGAGCTGTGTCGATTGATCTGCGTTTGAATTGAAATATTTTGTTAGCATTTTTTTTTTGTTTCTTCTTTGTTTTCCAGTTCGTGTTCTTTCCTTTTTTGATGTTTTGCGATTTTATATGTTTTTGTTGTAATTTTCTTCTTCTTCAGTGCAGTCGATCTGCTTTAGTTCATCCAAATAATGCCTCACAGAAGATCAAACTTAGGTCGTCGTACTCGCGGAGCGGAAGCAGTGCGAATCAAACTGGGGAAGAACGGGCATCAGCGAACGGGTGAAACAGGCAAAGAATGGCTCAAATACGTGCCGAGGAAGCAGCAGAGCGACGTGCAGCCAGACTGGAGGATGCACGGTTGCAAGCATGGCGATCGCGTTCTGCAGCATCATATCTGCTTCGTTCTCAACAGACTGAATACAACAGGCTGAGAGTGGCTGAAAGACATCAATGAGAAACAGCAGATCAGCGTCAAACACGACTCCATGCTCAGCAATCATGTGATTACAATCGCCTTGCGTTCCGGTACAGTCCAGCTGAAGATTATACTTTGAGCCGGCATGTTCTCATCGGCACTATGACTGAAGTGTGTCCTTATTGCAAGGCTCTGAAATTTAGTGGAGAAAGGAAAGGAATGTGTTGCGCCGTGGGAAAAATTAAACTGCCTCAACTTGGAGAACTGCCAGAGCCATTAAAAACTTTGCTTGCCGGATATACCGCCGAATCAAGGCATTTCCTATCTAACATCAGGAAATACAACTCATGCTTCCAAATGACGTCGTTCAGCGCAGAAATCGTAACAGCTCAATTCATGCTAACTTTCAAAGTGAAAGGACAAATTTATCATAAAGCCGGCTCCCTGCTTCCGTTCCCAGATGATCAACATAAATTCCTACAAATGTATTTCATCGGCGATGGCAATGATGAATTGAATGCACGCTGTGGAATTTCTACCGGCATAAAAAGGTCCATCATTTCCCAACTGCAAGAGCTTCTTCACGAAAAAAAACAATTTAGTGCGTTTGTTCAAAACAGCAATTGACATGATGCCATCTGATACACACAAGATTGTTATTCATGCTGACAAAACGCCTGCTGGACAACATGTGCGAAGATTCAATGCTTCAACTATAGACGAAGTGGCAGTTGTTATAGTTGGAGATCAATTCCAACCTAGAGATATTGTTCTTCATCGGAGAACAGATTAATTGACATAAGTTGCAGAAACTCATCAATGCTACAATGCCCTGCAATATCCAATCATTTTTTGGGATGGTGCCGATGGATATCACTTCAACGTTAAGATGATAAATCCAGTCAGTGGCGAAGAAACAGATATGAAATGCAGTGCAATGAACTATTATTCATACCGATTAATGATTCGAGAGAATGAAGACAATCACATTTTGAAATGCCGTCAGTTGTTTCACCAATACATCGTAGATATGTGTGCAAAAATTGAAACAGAACATTTGATATTCATCTGTTTGAATCAGACCAAGCTTCGCTCTGAAGAATTTGCGAGATGCTGTTGTAAATGACGGTAATACAACTAACATTGGAAGACTAACCATTTTGCCATCTTCATATACAGGCAGTCCACGTCATATGCATGAGTACGCTCAAGATGCAATTGCATATGTTCGTCACTACGGGCGTCCAGACCTATTCATTACATTCACATGCAATCCAGCTTGGGACGATATACAACAGCTCTTACTTCCTGGGCAATCGCCGGTGGATAGGCATGACATCACA